TTTTAATATTTATTTTTTTTTAGTTCTCGGCGGACACAACATCTTTGTTGGTATGTGGTGCTGAGGATCGAACCCGGGCCGCACGCATGCCAGGCGAGCGCGCTACCGCTGAGCCACATCTCCAGCCCTAGTTTATTCTTTTTTTAGAGGACATGTTAAAAATGTTTGGTTGTTTCCCTTTCAGTAATGTTATAGTAACAACTCAGTGCCTAGATCTATTAATTTGTGGGGAATGTAAATGGTAATACTGTAATTCTATCACTTAAAAAAGTTTATTAGCCTGGGCAACTTAGTGAGCCCTATCTCAAAATAAAAAATATAAAAGTTCTGAGGATGTAGCTCAGAGGTAGAATGCCACCGGGCTCAATCCCTAATATGGCAAGAAAAAAAATTATAAATAATTTATAATAAGAGTCAGTTTCATCATCTGCTAATTGGTTACCCAGTGGTAGAGTTCACATAGGAAAAGCAGGATAAATGCTTGGTTATTTTAGTCAACAAATTTCATGGAAAAAGTTGATTTCTCATCATACTTTRAAGGTAATCAGTATATCATTAGTTAAACCTTTTGCTTTCATATTCCACAGAACAGGTGGCAACTAACTAAAAATAATGATGCTGATAATACTTTCTCCTATTTCTTGAGTGTGTACGTACTATGTGCTAAACAATTTGCCAGATACTTTATGCATGCTATTGACATCTTTTAACATTGGTAAACTCTATCTGCTATATAACATATAATTTCATTTTTATTTATTTCTAATTATAGTTCAGTTATAAATACTCTGAACCTTAGGTGGTGTTAAGTCACCTGTAATTAAAGTGAATCAAAGCTTATTTGTTTGTTTGTTTGCTTATTTATTTTGTAGGGCTGGGAAACTCAGGTCCTTGCACATGCTAAGCAAATGCTCTACTGTTGAGCTATATCCCCAGCCCTAAAGGATATTTCTTTTACTTGCTACTTGCCCACAAATTCACTGTTGCCCTTTTGTAAATGTGCCATCTACTTTTAATTTCTTTCATATGTAGAAGGAATAAAGCCCTTCAAAATTAAAAATCATAGAGAAATTTAATAATGCTTAAAATGATTCATTTAACTTTGAATCAAGTAAAAGGAGAAATGGGTCATGAAATGGGAATGGAAAGATTCATTTTGGAGAGATCCTAATGCTCATCTGACACTGATGATAGTTTAGATAGGGAAGTCATGGTAATGTGGGAAACAAACCAATTATAACTAAATTTGCAACAAAGCTGGCTTTTGAAAGGAAAGAAATGTCTGATAAATACAGGGAAAGTCACCTCCTTCCTAATATTATGAAATGAAAATGGGTGATTTTAATATGATTTTTTTGAAACTTCAAAATGGATAGTTTCATCAGAATTTTTTCTTTCTTTTTTAATTTATTTCTTACATACATGAAAATAGTGGAGTGCATTACATTCATAATATGATTTTCATTGAGCAAATCCTACAATGACTCCCAAGTTTTCACATGACTCTTTCCCAGAGTCTGTCAGGACTCTGAACCTACAGATATGCTTCTTAAATTCAAAGCCCCTGAGATGGTATACCCAGGACTGAAATACTCATTTAATTAGTGGTTCTACACATTGGCTGTAAGAGAGAATCATATCAGGTGCTTATATGACTGATGCCAGGGTCCCATTCCAGTCTGGAGGTAAGACCTATGATAGCAGCCCCAGTAACAGAATGCTTGGCCAGATTTGAGAACAGACTCAGGTAATTTCTATGAAATAGTTATTTCAACTTGAAATACTTATTCTGAACATCTCTCTAATTGACATCTCTCTAGTTCATACTTTAGTCTCTCTTATAACTTGGGACAATGTCCACTCTGACAAATATTGCAACAGATATTGTACATATCAAGGAGGAACAACAGAAGCCTTCTCCAACAGAAACATGGTATTAGCAGAGCTGTAGGAAACCTCTGGAATATCCATTAGGTTCTCCTTATATCACATCTATGGTTCTTGATAAAGGGTTGAAAGACTTTGGTACATCATTTAAGGCCCTCTGTATTCCTTTTCTGTAAAGATGAATTAGCCTGAAAATACTGGTTAAGATTCCAAAATGGGAATGCAAAGCTAACACCCTGGAAAGAAAAACTGTATTCAAATAAGTAGCTTTGGAATGAGAGACTGCYCCATAGGACAGACAGAATGTTTTCAGAGTGAAAAACTGTAAACTGGCAATATTTCATATTAACCATTAATGTTTGTTCCAATTCATTTTTCTTATGGCCCTAAATATTTCTTTATGAGTGGCTCAACGTGAACAAACTGCATCACAAATTCTAAGGGCAAAAGATTACTGCCTATGGACTGGGGATGTGGCTCAAGCGGTAGCGCGCTCACCTGGCATGCGTGCGGCCCAGGTTCGATCCTCAGCACCACATACAAAGATGTTGTGTCCGCCAAAAACTAAAAAATAAATATTAAAAAAAAACTCTCTCTCTCTCACTCTATCTCTCTCACTGTCTCTTAAAAAAAAAAAAAAGAAGCAATACCAGGCATCACTCTGATTTTCCTAATCTATGAAAATGACATTGATGTTTTAGAAACATAATGGAAATAAAATTTAGTTGTTAGAAGCTTAGATTCTGAAGCCAGACTTCCTGGGTTCAAATCCTAGCTCTGCCCCACTTTCTTTACCTGCAAATAGGAATAATAATAGTACTAAGCACATAATATTGTGGTAAGTATTAAATGATTAAATATATATATAAGTTATAATATACATATAAAAGTGTTAAGAAAAAAAGTACCTAGTACATGATAAGTACTCAAAAATATTATCACTTAAAATTATTTATTTTCTTTCTTGATTATAAGAAGCAATTTATTGTATGTATTCAGGAAGTAAATTGAATTGAAAGAAACACTATAAACTTATTTTTCCTAGTTTTTATAGCCCAAGTTGTTTCAGGATGTGAAATCATGATCATTTCAATTTCTATTCTCATGACGATAATCATGCAATGAAATTAGGACAAATCATGTAACTATTCTGAGCTGCTTCCTCATCTATGAAATGATTGTCTCTTAGGATCTTTGTTCATTCTGGGAATCTTTCCTTTTAAATGAATATAAACTCCACAGTCATAAAAATTAAAGTGTCTTCATTTAGTATGATTAACATCTANGATGTGCTATTCCATTGGTTTTGCAATCTGCTCTGACCAGGATTGCTTGGTGTATCTTACCTCTGAGGCAAAGCATGCCAACCCACCTGTGTCAAGACATTGAGCTGTTCCATGATGTGTTCTAAAGCGTCTGTCACAGCAAGCGGTATGCTTCTTTGGCTCTCGGAGGGAAAGTCACTAAATTCTTCTGTTTTATTTTTCACAGCTATTGCTGAACAGTCTGCTGACATTAAGGAAGGGTTCAAGAAATATCCACAGATATCTTCACCCTTGTCTGGCAGATTTCGACCACTATTTTCTGTTATCTTTAATGTCATAGAAAAGATAGGAAGAGTTATTTTTCCAAACTTTAAAATGATATCTGTATACAAAAGTTTTAAATATTCTTCCTTTAAAATTTCCAAGCTTAGGTTTAATAATTTATCCTCAATTATAATAAATTAAAGAAACTACAACAAGGATACAATGCTAACAGTGAACAGAAATATCACATCTTTCCTTGTCATTGAAAGACACTGTACATATGTCTGTCTGAAAGATCAAGTGTTATGCCATTAAAAAAAAAAAAAAAAAAAAAAAAAAAAAAACTGCTGCAAACTTGGGATTCAGCTCAATAGTAGAGTGCTTGCCAGCATGAGTCCCTCAGTTCAATCTCCAGTACCACAGTGGGGCAAAAAAATCTAAAATACCTGAGAGAGAATGACTTTTAGGGTATGAATAAATTCCATACCCTTTAAGCAATCCCATTATTATCATTTTGAACTACTCAACTTCATATGATAAAGAAAAGCTAAAACTGTACTGAAAATGTCCAGAAGAAAACCTGGTAGTCACAGATGCAAGAACAAGTTACTGTAGAGGACTTTTAATGCTATTCATTATCTGTACTCACAAGCATCTATGACCTACCATCTATTCATACCCTGAGCAGTGGATCTGGGAAGAGACATACAGCCCTTATGTTTATGTACATGGGCCCCCAGCCCCTGGGCTGGCAGCAAAGACTGGGATGAAAGCCATAGCAATGTAAAGGTAAGTATAGAAACACAAAGGACTCACCAGGAATTCCTCTCTCATGATCATAGCCTACAATCCTGATCCTAGGAAAGCACCTTATTCACTGGGGACAATATATGGTTGCCCATGCACACACTTTCTCACCCCAAAGTAAATAATTTCTGCTGAAAGAACAAACTTTTCTTTCTTCCTTGCTTCTGCTCTGTCTGCAATGAACATCTCTGGTACCCTAGCATGGCTGAGCCCTTTGCAGCCTCCATATCTCAGCATAATTGTCACATTTTCAGAAAAGTAATCTTGTCTACTCTAATAAAGCTGGACTATCTGTTTGCTAGCTGGGCATCCTGATGATTTCCTCAGTAACCGATCAGAGTTTACATTTATATATCTGTTCCTTGTTTACTGTCTTTTACAGTAGGATGTACCATGTCTACTACTCTCACAACTGTATCCCTTGGAGCTAGTATCATGTCTAGTACTTAAAAGAAACTTGARTGTCTTTTACATGCAGATTTTATCACTGTTCTCACAGATAAAAACCAAATTCTCTATAACCAAAGAGTTTTATTTACTTTTTAACACATATCACAATATACCTAAGTACATACACACATGGCCACAAATATCATGGGTCATACTGAAATCACAGCTCCAGCCCTTTGTGGAAAAAGGACTCAACCTAATTAACAAATCAATCTTCAATCTCTGGTGGTTTGTAGTCAAGGTGGTTAGTGAAGAAAGGGCAAAATGAAAATGGGGGCAAATGACTTAAGACCATAGACTGTCTAAACGATAAAAGAGCTCTAACGGCCTAAACAATAAACTTCTTGTTTGGAATCAGCCAGCAAATACATTGCTATCAAATGACTTATGGAGATGAACAAAAGATAGAGAACGGTAAAGGCTGAAAAAACCAGTACCAGATCTCCAACTGACAGTATCAGTCAGCCGACATATTTGTCTTTCTGTCTCTCAAAGGTACTGGGACCTGCATGTAAGCAGATTCTTTCCCACCAACTAACCCTGCCTTTGCATTGTTTGTACAGGGGAAGAGTGAGAGGCATGACTTGGGGAAGTTTCATTATTCTAATAAAATTAAGCCACTATATCACTATATTATAGTGATATCACTACACTCATAAAAAAGTTACTGGTGTTTAATTAACACTTTGGGCTGACAGAATTCCAGCAAATGAGTTGGTCCTATTTTAAAGTTGCTAGTATTCATTTTTTTTTCTCTTTTTGAGTACACATTCACTGAGCACCTACTTCACAGAGAGCACCTACCAGTTGTACCTGTGAGTGTGGTATCTTGCCTGCCCTCAAAGGATTCTCTACTGTGGGAGAGAACCAAGATAGAACAGAGCTAGATTCCCTCCCAGCACCTGCCACATCTCTGTCACTGCTGAGCAAGCAAAACAGACAATTGATGACTGGGCTACAATGAAGATTTGCAGTCCAAACTATTATTACTTATGTAATTAGCAAAGGAACATTCAACATATTGTGGCACTCAATTACTTCTCTGTATTCTCAAAATTCACCCATTATATATTTATTCCTTTTTCTCCTCTCTTCCTTCTAACCTTCCCACCCACCCACTGTCTGGACCAGTAAGTCAGAATTAATCACTGGTGCGACTTCACTTTGTTCATGCCATGAGTAGAACGTTTGTCACTTCTTGATGTATTTGTGTCTACATGTTGGCATTTCCTAGCAGATTGTGAACCCCTTTTGAGGGACAGAGTCATAACTTTATCATCTTTGCTCTCAGGTGTCTAGCACAGTATATGAGACAGTTCAGTTCACAGCATTTGTTGAACTGAATTCAATTGACTGTCCTACATGCGCTGAGCCATCCACATACAAAAAAAAAAATATTAATAACATAGTATTTGGAGAGAAGTATAAACCCAAGGTAAAGCCAATGCTACTCTCTGCTAGAAATTCCTATCCTTAATGGCTTAGAGCACAATGATAGAGCAATGCATGCATCTATTACCTAATTACAAATCACTTCATGATTTTTGACTGCTAATAGCATATTTGATGGCTTCTGGTGGAATAACACAATGATTTTTCCAACAAATGTGAAGGCAAAAGAAAGCATTTCACTTGTAAAGACAACCAGTGACTTAACTTCAGATATATCTTTAATAAACTAATTAGAATATATCAGTTTTGTTTACAATCAACATTTCTAGATTTGCTTTCATTCTGTAAGTAGAGAACAAAACAGACAAAAGGCAGACGAGTCTATCTAAGAGTGGTCTTGACCCTTCTACTCAAAGTGAGTTTCCCATCATGGATGATTTTAATAGCCTAGGGATGGTCACTTGTCAGGGATATTGTGAGAAAAACACAAACATCAGATCAGGAAATTCAACTGAATGTCTTTTTGAGTCTACACCTAAGGAGCTGATTTTGCTTTCATTAGAACTTTACATAAAATCATATTATAGTAGAACCTTTTGGTATTTCCTTTTAATTGACATTGTTATATTTATCCCACGGTGATGCATGGGATTCTAGTTTACTTACTTATATTGCCAAAATAGTATTCTTCTGAATACTCCACAAACTATCCCTTCTACTGTTAATTAACAATGACTGCTATAGTGAGCACTTTTGTAAATGTCTTGGTATAAGACTTCTTGCTAGTGTGGTGCTGCAGTCTGGCTGGGCACAAATCACGAGCCACTGAAGCAGGAACAAACTCTGTTTCTGAACTCCACCAGCACACTCCACACACGCTCCCTGGGAACCCTCCCAAACGCCACTCGGCTCCTCCAGGAACCACCAACCGGAAATCCCTCCTCTGGTACGTCCCCAACCAATGAGAACTCTTCAGGAATCCCTGCGAGAGCTCAACCGGAACTCTTCAAGAACTCAAAAGTCATCATCTTAATGGCTTGCTGGGGTCACCTCTCAACCACTACTTCTGGCAAAAATGCCATGCGTCATCCCGACTTGGCTGTGGCCCTCAACAGTGTGGAATACCTAAATCATAGTTTTTATAATTATTGCTCAAATACTAGAATTAACCTCCTACTAGCAGAAGTCACTTTTATCTACAAAGTCAGAAATAATTGAGTATTATTACACATCAAATTTTAAAAAATTATGGGCAGAAAATCCCACCTAATGGCTTGAATTTCATTGTGCATTTCTTAGATTACCAGTAACTTGAACATATTTTATGTGCATATTGGTAACTATACTGTAAATTGCCTACTTAAATCTCCCACCCATGTTTCAACTGCTCTATTTCTCTCATTTCTAATTTGAGAGTTCTCTATATATTCTAGACAATGATACTTGTTCTTTATGTGTATGATACATTCCCTCCTCTGTGGTTTGTTTTCACTGTTATTTATGAAATTTTAAAGTACAAGTTTTGTTTTTAATGTAGCCAAACTTATCAAACATTTTCTTTATGATTTGTGTAATTTGTATTTCTTTTAAAAGAAACTTTTGCATACCCAGAATTCACATTGCCCTTTTTTTTTTTTTTTTGAGACTTTAAAGTATTACTTTTCACATTTAAGGCTTTAACCTATCAGGTATTGATTTTTTGTTTCTGGCTAAAAGTACCGCAAAGAATAGAATTTTAATTGATTATTATTTTTAAATGGATGATTGTCACAGCAACAATCAAGGAAGAGTGCATTTGGTCTTTCTCTACGGATCTGYAGTCACCTTCCACACAGCGACTGTCCACACCTGTGTGGTTCTGTTATATGCCTTCAGTCATGGATTCTTACTTTCTCTTTGCAATATCATACCTGGAGCTTAAGAAGTCTTCAACCTTCAGAACTACCCTGGACATTTTTTTTTTGGTTGTTGTTCTTTGCTTTGTCAAGTAAGTTATACAATTAACTTTTTAAGTTTTAAGTTTCATTAAACATATTACTGAGATGCTTATTGGTATTTTCTCAAATTTATAGACTTCTAAGAAGTAACACTTTTATGATGCCAAGCCTCTTTATAAAAACAGCTCCAAAAACATTGACTACTTGATAAATTTCATGTTATCCTGACACTCTGGTATCTTCTATATCTCAATTTTAATACGTGTGCTGCAAAATCAAACATTATATCACTAGCTTTTTATGCTAGAAAGTCAACCAAGTGAATAGTCAAAGAATGTCCTCCGTAACTATCAGGTTTTTTTTTTTTTTTTTTTTTTTGGTACTAGGAATTGAACCTAGGAGCACTTTACTACTGAGCTACATTCCCAGCCCTTTTTATTATGAGACAAAAATCTCACTAAGTTGCCTAGGCTGAC